ATAATGAAACGTATGAGATGTGGTCCTCATCCCTGAGGTCGTCACCCAGGAGGGTGCAGAATTAGCAGACAAGATAAATATATACATAGATTTTTAAAAAATGTTTCTTTATTTTTGAGAGAGAGAGAGAGAGAGAGAGAGAGAGAGAGAGAGAGAGACAGAGCATGAGTGAGGGAGGGGCAGGGCGAGAGCGAGACACAGAATCTGAAGCAGGCTCCAGGCTCTGAGCTGTCAGCACAGAGCCTGACGCGGGGCTCGAACTCGCACACTGTGAGATCATGACCTGAGCTGAAGTCAGACACTTAACCAACTGAGCCACCCACGCACCCCTATATAGATTTTCAATGCAATGTAACAGGGTATTATAAGAGAGGTGTTACCGGAAGTGCTGTGGAAGTTCCTGGACAGCTCTTCTGTAGGTATTACCACAGGTTACCCACAATTAGTGCATGCAGAGGACTGTGTCCTTATGGCACAGATGAAGGAAGACCTGTAGTGGATGAAGGCTTGGACTAGAACCATGTTATGTTCTAAGCCTGATAGATGGAGATTTTGCACCAACCAGCATATTTGGGCTGTTGCACCAAGAAAATTCTGTAGACAGCTAAACGTCTTTATTGGAATAATTGAACTGGAAGCTGACTTTTACTACTCAAAGCACATTATTTAATGCAACCTGTATATAGTGATAAACAATAAACTGGAAGGCCTGGTGTATTCTGATGACAACAGTGTAACCTCAAACTATGAGGTTTATAAAAGTAATGTTTTCTGATTGATCTGGATTCTTGAGTTATTTTGCTAATGCCTCCAGTGCCATGTGAAACATGGAGGATGGCAGGATCGTCAAACAACTGTTGATAATAAACTGGTAGTAATTAGCCAGTATATAGGACTGGATAAATGCTTTAATAATTCTCAAATATACCATTGTTTCAAGCAAACTGTAACCGTAGGTAACAAATGTCAGTTTGGCTTGTAATTATTTATGGAGTTCTTATTATTTTTAACATAGAATCTTTATATAGGCTCTGAATCTAGGAGTCTAAGACACCCGTGACTGATATTTTGCACCAGGGCTATTGCAACTCATCACAGGATAAACTACATGTGTTCAGTGAGTTGTGCTTTGTCCTTTGCAGCTAGAGCTGCCTAAGAGATACAGGAGAGATGGTCTGTATATGTGTGTGTGTTTGTAAGAGGAGCTCTCATGTTTCTTCTTTGTTGAACCCTAACTCCCAACTCATTTTTGCAGATTTTTGGTGACGACTTTGATAGAACACAGTCATTCTCCTTATTAAAGAGATATTCCTTTTATTTTATGAGTTAATATTTTCTTTAAAAAAATTTTTTTTAAATGTTTTTATTTATTTTTGAGACAGAGAGAGAGCATGAGCAGGGGAGGGGCAGAGAGAGAGGGAGACACAGAATCCGAAGCGGGCTCCAGGCTCTGAGCTGTCAGCACAGAGCCCGACGTGGGGTTTGAACTCACGGAGTGTGAGATCGTGACCTGAGCTGAAGTCGGATGCTCAACCGACTGAGCCACCCAGGCGCCCCGAGTTAATATTTTCTTAATTAGTGTTCTTAAGGAACCCCCATGTTATCATGTTAGTTCATATGCTATACACTCATTAATTTAAGTCATGGGATCACTATAATTTAGGAGTCCCTTTCTCATTTGGAGAAATTCATTCCTATTTTGGGAGTATTGATAATGTTCTCAATTTCCTGAGTAGTATCAGTATTTCTCTTGGGACCAGGGTGAAATTTTGCACCAATTCCTCTATGTTCTTTTTCCATTATTGTCTGACTGTTGACTGGTACTTTCCTCCCTTCCGTTTTGTCATCTGTGAGTTTTATTAACACGGTGTTTACTCCCTCTTTTAAATGATTAATGAAGTAAACTGTGAAATGGCGCTTTTATCTTTAATAGTTGATGCTGTACAAGTGACAAATGCAATGAAAGCATCCTTCTCTCATTCAGTTCCTGTCGTGCGTCTCTTTAGTGTCTCTGTGACATGACTTGAAATGACACTGCTTGTGTCTCTTTTGTAGCTAGTTCACACTGAAAGGATATAATCTTCTGTTTGATATCACAGCCACTTCTCCAGCTACAGACTGTGATGTCACAAACCAAAGATTATTCTCTCTCAGCAGGAAGAAGCTGGAGAGGAGATGAATCTCCATGATGAACCATCATCCTTATTCAAATTTGGTCATTTCATAAAATTAACCACAATGAGGAGCAAATATACTGGCTAGTTGAATTATCCTTTTGCCTTAAGCTTGAAAAACTTTACCATTATACTGGAATGAGAGAAATTCTTTCAAAAATTCTAAGTAAAAATTTGGGAGTTATAATAATGCAGGTATCTGTAAATACCTTTTTATGGAGTTTAAAAAATGTTATGTAGTGCCAGACCCTTTGAGTTAGAGGTTGACACGTGAAAATGAATTTTAAGTATGTTTCTAATTTCAGATGCAAAATTATATTGCTTATTGTTTCAGGCAAAAATGACATACCAGTCTAAAAAAAGTCAACCAAGGCACTAAATGGATATACTTTTTTTGACTTATGTGCCTACTTTTATTTTCTCATGGTTTAAGCAAAAAGTTTATAACTTTTGGATGATTTGAAATGAGCAGAATCTATGGGTATAGCGGTAGATATCATTGTAAGGATATGGTAGCCAGAATATTTGCTTCATTTCTATGAAAGAATCCAATATTACATAATCATATTACTTTTATGATACTTTTATATAATACGTGGACATAAAATACATTCTGAATTACACAGACGCAAGTAGGCAACCACTGAATACTTCCCAAGAATGTTCAAAATCTCTTTAAGTCTTAAATGTATCAACACAAGGGAAAAACTCCCATAAATAAACCAAATCTTCAGGTACTAACATAAAATTCCTTTTCCATCTGTACTCATGAGATACTGAAGTGGAAGCAGTTTTCAGTGTTACAAATGATGTGTTAAAAGGTAGTTCATGTTTTTTATTCACTTTTTCACTAAAATGAAGAGGAAAATGTAGATTATCCCAAATTGCTGTAGATTTTTTTTTTTTGAAAGCTGTTATTTAAATCTCAGTAATTATTATTCAGAATGAACCATTATGGAGAAAAAAACCCCTTGATTTAGATGGGAAAGAAAATGAAGAGAAATTGGGACAGATGCTTACAAGGGCTACAGAGGACGAGGGTCATGTCTGTTTACCCATCACCATCATCAAAGTCATGGAAGCAAAAAGTCCCTGAACTGGTGTAGATCAATAATGAGTAAATAAAATCTAGGAAACTTCACAAGAATAATTTTATGCCCCATTCAGTTCTGTTTATTGGAAGCAAATTGTTTGAGCATAATAGTGTTTATCTTATGTTTTGCCCAAGTTAATTAAAAAACCCCCAAAATCTTATTTATGAGTTGAACTAATGATATTTTTCATTTACAAAAGGTAGGCATATTTTCAAAGCATGTCAGTTTGCAAAATAGGATATTATAATAAGGAGAAAAAAGATGCAAAGAATCCTTAAGGATTCAGGTAAGTCTGGATGTAGGTAAAAAACAGTATTTTTAGTTAGGGCTGGTATACAAAGGAAGTCATTTGAAATTTCTAAAATAAAGATTTTTCTGTGAGATAAATTGGTGCATTATACCACGACTGCTTGTACATAAGTTGCTGCTTTCCTTTGGTACTAGAAAATGGTAAGTAAATTTCTGTAATGACTTCAGATGCAAATGATGATACTTAAGGTTCTTTAAAGACTGTTTTGAAAAGAGTGAAAGTATCATGTAATTCACTCTACTAATTAAAGCTCTGAAAAAAGGAAAGAATTTAGTGAAATGGAAGAGAAATTCAGATTTGACTTAAAAAAATTTTTTTTGGCAGGTACTGCATAATTACCTCTGATAACTTTCCTTGTATCATCAGATCATTTCTATTGTTAGGTGTGATTTGCTTTTATTGTTTCCCTTATCTCTTGTCTTCTAAGATAACAGAACTGTATTATTTATTTTAGGGTTTCTTTATGAAAAGATTAAGCTTTGAACTTTTACTATTGAATTTATATGCAAACCAATATAGTTGAATTTTGCCTAAAAATCTATGTAGGGAATTAAAATTCTGACTGTCCTGTTGTGTGTGTGTGTGTGTGTGTGTGTGTGTCTTTAAAAAATATATATATATATAAGATAGTCTCTCTAGAAGTCTCATTATGGAGTGATTTCTAGGGAATTTCTAAAAGGCACTTGGACCTTTTAAAATTCTTTGGCTCCAATAGTTCTTTACATTTTGCTGTTTGGACCATTGATCTGAGGTAGAGCTTTTGTGGTACTAAGACACCGGACATCTTTTTGTTCTGTTGTTAAATCAGAAAAATGTCCTTATTTAGTCTGTTAACACAGATATGCCCAGTACTGTTACTGTTAGGGTATGAATATCATTGTACTGTGGTGCTGCCTTTTAGTTTGCTAGAGATTGTTTTTCTCGAGTGTGAATGAGAGTGACATCACAGCTTTTTTTTTCTGTAATGATAAAAATCAGTTCTTGAGCTTTCTTCTTTTGCATTAATAGAAATATTAAAAATGCGTTAATTTTTGTTTTACCAAGTGCCCTGGGAATCAAATTTCATTTGAATATGTTTGTTATATAGCATCTGTGAATGGCTCTCGTGCCCCATTCAGGGTTCTCTTCATGCATGTTTTTCAAGCTATTAAATAAAACAAAACTGGGATTTTAAAAATGAAGACAAAGATGGGACATGTCCAATGAAAAATGAATGAGATTTTGGGGATGTTTTTATCTAGTTACGAATGAGTAGTTTATGCAGCATAAGTAAAAGCAAGTGTTTACCTCACAAGGCTTAAATCTGCATAAAGCTTAAGGGAAGGTCGCATGAAATTCAAATCTAGTGGCTCGTGCACAGCATTCAGCAGGTTCAGTTTCAGTAGTCAGGATAAAAAGTAATGTTATAAAATTAGATCTTACCTGGCAGTGGTGTGTGTGAAGCCCAATAATCTAATTCTGGCTGGAAATAGTAAGCTTCGGTACCTGAAATGCCTTCTCTACTTGGCTTGCGTGTTTTCATTCACCACTGTGTTTTATTTCATGCAGTGTCTGTCTGTCTGTATTCCTGGTAATCCTGTAGCATTAGGGCAGCACGCAATAGATGAAGATTCCACTTGAATAGGATTATAGAGAAAGGGGGCGAGTTTTGCCTTTCTTTATCCGGTAATGGCAGTTGATCTGACCACAGACAACTTGAGCGTTCAGAACTTATTAAAAATTCATTGAATGTTTCAGCAGTGAGAAATCCAGGGTCCTTGTATAGATGTTTTTACCTTCTGGAAAAGTTCTGCTGTCCATATTTCAGCATTACACGTGCCCCCGGATCAAGTTGCTTTAAAAAAATCACTTGGACTGGATCTCTCTTGGATCTTCTCTTGCACTGTCTTGCTTTCCTTGTGTTCCCCTTTACCAACTTTTCAGTCCACTGGCTTCCTTTTTGTAGAGGATAAGGGGGTCTCTTCTGTCTTCCTTGTGCCTCTGCAACACATAGTTCTGGGACACTGTTTTGTGAATAGCGAGGGGAAAATCCGAAGAAGGTATGGCTTTATCATCCCTCCGGACAGTGAGCATACTTGGCATGAATGAAGAGCTGATAGGAGCTATTCAAACCAGACAGCAAACTGATGGGATGACGCTTTCATACATAATAAACCCATTAATTACTTCTCCTGATGGACAGCAGTATGCCCTGAAAGGAAAAGAGGAAGGAGCCGATGATCATGTTCAGTTTGATAGGTGCTCTCTGAGCAGCCTGTCATTGTGAAGAGAATCCAGGAAGAGCTGCAGCTCTGGAATGTGATCAGGTAGAATGGGCAAGAGTTGTTTTGACAGGCAGTTAAGTGACGAATTTGGGGAGGAAAAAAAGAGCTGAGCAAAGAGGGAGCTGGAATAATGTTCCAAAATGCTGGTGAAAATGTTCATTGTTTTCCTCCTGTTCATCCTTTTGGCTGGAAGAAAGTACTCTATTTTACCTTTGCATTACTTGCAGAAATTCCGCTGAGCTGTTTTCTCATAATCTAGTTTTCTCTAAAGAAGGAACATAATTTTAAAAAATCCCATGGGATAGAAAAATATATTGTGAGTTTTAAAAATTTGTAGCAGGGAAAAGGCTGCTTTTTTGTGAAAAGGCACACCTGTTTTTACATGTCTTTTGGGCACATGCATTTTGTTGCTTTGGAATAGAACATTATGAGTCATCACTTAGTATAAAATTTTAGCAGGGTGTTTATTTAAAAATATTATATGGAATTCTGAGGAGCTGTATAAAAGAATAGATCTAAAGAGTGTCAGTTTTATAATTTTTGTACTTCATTTTTTAAATAAAACAGGATTTTTTTCCTTTTCCTACCTTTTCATAGAGTCCTTTCAGGGGTGTTTCGGGACAATAAATGCTTTTTAAATGTTTTTTAAAATTATTAAAAACTTCACCTTACACAAAACTGTGAAAAAATAATGTATGAACTTCCATCAACCCATTACCTGGATTCAACAATTACCGAGTTCTTGCCATGTTAGCTTCATTTAACTTTTTTTTCTTAGTTGAAACATTTTAAAGCAAATCTCATTCCATCCTTACATACATTAGCATGTATGGACACCTCACATAACCACTGTTCCGTTATCACACCTAATAGTAATTATAATGAACAGTGGTTAATAATGAGGTTAATTGTTAATAATTCTTCGGGGTCATATGATATCCGGCCTGTTTCAGATTTCTCCTGTCTCAGAGATGGTGTCTTGACCAGGTTTTTTTTTTTTTTTTTTTTTTTTTTTTGAATTAGAATCTAGGCAGGGTCCATATATTATATTTAGTTGTTAGGCATTAGAATTTTAAACACTAATTTAGATGACATGTAACGAAGAAATAAAATGTAGTTTTATAGCAGTCTTCTATGCACATTTATAATAGGAATATCTAGATAAGAGAACATATCTCCAGAATATTTTCTTGAACTCTTGCCCACTTAACATTATGCATGGTAATGATAGCTGAAAAGGAATGTAATTTTCTGTGGTTATGACTAGCTGTTGGTTAGGTTCATTACTCTGCAGGTTTTTCATGATTTGTTCTGGAGTATGAGGTCTAAAATTCTGCCCCAAGCTATTGAGTCTATCTTTTAGGCTGGGCAAATTCAATCAAATTCCAGGGTCAGTTCTACTTAATTGCTGAAAAAGACCATCTTGCTTATTTACCTTATCAAACACAGTAGAACATTGTTGTAATAAATACTCCCAAGTTTCAAACCCCTAATTATTAAACCAAGTTTCAACATTTGAATGTGACTTAGAGTTCTGTGAAGATCTAAAAATAGAGAAGTAAAAATCAAATGGGCCATTGTGTTGATGAGAACCAGTGACTCTAATATTATATAATTATATATAATTATATACATTGTTTTATCATTTTTCTCATAATATCAGGTTTTTCCTTTAGTATGAATTTTTATTTTCCTGTAAGACTGGAACTCCCAGCTCCTTTTTGAAAACGCAGAGCATTTGGTGGTCTACTTGCGTTTTCCTGGAATGTAGTAACATAAGTTCCTGAAATAATGTGTGGGGCACTGTACCCCACTGAAATTGGCTCTCATTCGGATTCTCTGTTTCTCTCTGATCCCACCCATTCTTCCTCTGTCTCCATCTTTTAAATTGGCTAGATGAATGAGAATGGGGAAGGTGAAATATGGGCAGCCATTGAATGGGCGTGGATGGAACTTCTACCTAGGCTCAAAGTCACTATCGAGGACCATGCTTCCAGTTCTGTGGAAGCCTATAGAATAATAATGCTCTCCAAAGGCTCTGTCTCCTGCTGCATATCATGTTATGACATGATTGTTTGGCAGCTTTGTGTAACACTTTCTTATATTCTCAAACAATCCCTTTGGAAGCCTTGTCCTTACTTAAATGTTGCTGAACAAGTAGTGTACGTGTTTTATTACCTACCTATGTGCTTTATTGAAAGTTTGTGAAAGAGTTACTATGACCATTATATACAAATAAACTAAAGGAAAAAGGCTTCTTTTTCCTAAGCCATTTCTGTAATTTTCCCCCTTGATCATTTATAATGCAATGCCAATATTAGGTGGCATTTTACAAATATGCAGTTTTTACTATAGAACGCTGTATAATTGGTGACAGAGTGGCTATAGAGGGAACTAGACTAATAGATTAGGAGTATATTTTGGGTATAAGTCCTCACTCTATTTCCAATCATGATTTCCCAGTGCACTAACTATAAACTGAATTAATAGGAAAACAGTGACTCAGGCAGTGACCCTGTAGAGTTCCGAACCAAAGAAATAGGTGCACCTCAGCCATTGTGTGAATCCTTTTTTCCAAAAGCATGGAGTTGTTCCTGTGAATAGTATTATTCAGAGATCTAATTTGTCAAGTAGCTAGTTGGGCAGGTGGCTTGTCTCTCATTGTCCCCCACCCCCATATGAGGGGAAGGAGGGAAAGTCTCAGAAAAATGAACTTGACGTTCTTTCTGATGCATATAATAAAGCACAGGTTTTGTTGTTGTTCAGATGTCTCGGTTCCCATCTCCCATTTTGCAACTGCCTTATTCTCATATTTGATCTAAACTCCCATTTCTGTTATGAAGTTGACCAGACAACTTAGAAGTTTCATAGGCTTTATAGATTTTTAAAACACTTTATGTATAATAGGATTAATGATTATTTTCCTCCTCAAAATTCTTCCTTGCATGAACATTTGGTCCACACCTAGAAGTGTGGTCATAGGTGATCTTGAGCCTTCGCAAAACTATAACAGCTTTTATAAGGAAAAAGAAAAAACAGTCCCCTCTTTATGTTCTCCAGTTCTTAAGCGAGTGGGATTTGTGGTTAAAGATTTCTTCTGTAGCAACTACCTATTTTTAGGGCAGTTTAAATATTCATAATCTCAACTGAGTGTGATTATTTTTCAGTTAATAAACCAAGAAAAAAAGTTGCGCTTTAAGGGAGTATTGTAGAATCATGCAAGCTCTTTCTAGAATACATATATTTTCTTGTTGCTTTAGTGAAAGACATCAAGTGTTTGTTGGCCTACTTGGGTCATTCTAGATCATTCTAGCCTGTAAAAACTAACAACTACTTCCTAGCTCGTTACTGGATACATGACAGTGCTCTAGGTCCTTAGAATGTTTAGTGCACCTACTTTCACAGCTTTGATGCAGACTGTTGTTTGTTTTATAAAGGAGGAAACTGAGATGTGGAGAGCTTAAGTAACTTAAGTTGACTTAGCTAGTAAGATACTGAACTGTGATATGAATCCAGGCAAGGTGGTTCCAGAGCCCAGAATCCAGAGAGATTCCAAACTGAGAAAAAAAGATGATGGAGCTCTTCCCTTCGAGTGTGAGACTCCTAGCAGAATTTTGAAAGAGTGGTGGCTCTGGCATCACCAACCTTCTACCACAATGAGATCTGCAGATTCAGGGGTTCCTGATGACTGGCAGATGATCCTACAAATTGACTATCTTTGAGAAAAAGATACTGAGTTTAATATAGAATGAATGTTTCCTTCTTTTCTTCCATGCTAAGAGTTTATAAAGGGGTGGTTTTTTCTTTGATTCTGTTCTTTCATAGTCTCTCAAGTAGATATGCTTTAGAATACTAGTCATTTAAGTTTAAATTAAAAAAAAATGTTAAGTACATGTGATGTTAGGAGAGGATGTGAACCAGACTTGTTGGTACTCTACTATAAAATTATTAGGAAACCATTGCTTTCTTGAGATGTATCTCATCCAGATAAATGGATTCCATTTTTATCTTCTTTTATTTTATTTAAAAAAAATGTTTATTTACCTTTGAGAAAAGGAGGGGCAAAGAGAGAGGGGGGACAGAGGATCCGAAGCAGGCTGCACGCTGACAACAGCACGATGCGGAGCTCGAACTCAGGAACTGAGAGATCATGACTTGAGCTGAAGTCGGATGCTTAACCAACTGAGCCACCCAGGCGCCCCTCCATTTTTATCTTCTTATTTGGACTTTTAAAAATGTCTCCTTTTTACACTTCTTTAGTTCATTGCTTTACCAGAGCATTCCCCTGTTTCACTCAGCTAAGGCCTTCACCTGTGTCCTAGTTTGGCCCTTTCCAGTCTGCCCTTCAGATTTTGACTTCTCCTAATGAACTGTAGACCACCACTAGAGGTCTCCAGACCTCACTTTAGAAAGCTCTGATTTTGTAAATTAAACAATAAATAAATTAAAATGTTTCAAAAATAAATAAAAATAAAAAATAAAACTCCCCAAAAGTTAAAAAAAAAAAAAAAAAAAAAAAAAGAAAGAAAGAAACCTCTGATTTTATAGGCACAACCCAGTAAGTGGAATAAATATGTTCCCTGGGAGATTAGTTACTGGTATTTCCCCTTAAATACTAATTAAGTGCTTCTATGTTCTAGGTTCTAGATTATGCTATGTTCTGAGGGTAGATTAAGAAAATGGTAAGGTCTCCCCCCTGGAGAACCCTGCAGTCTACTGGAGACACTGAAGTGTGAGCATAACGGCCACAAAACTGCGTGTTAGGCATGGCCACATCACATACTTTTAGATCCCTATTACCAGAATCCTTCAGATTTCTAGGTTTATCAAAGTGCCACTAACGCTCTTGAACTTTCCTGTAGCTCTTCATCTATACTGAGATCACTTCTGCTTTCTTGATCAAGCCCGCTGATGTGTCTTCATCAATATGGCAGGGAGCCATTCTCTGGGACAGCAGGATTATTTGGGTAGGCTCTGGTTTTTGTTTTCTGATGCCCTTCTCAGCAGCTCTATGCATCTGATCTTTAGGGAACAATTTCATACAAGAGTCCCCTTCTCCCAATCCCAGGGAACAAAGCAAGCCCCATAACTTAGAGCCTTCTGTATCCATTTTCCTTTACTAGAGAAATTTTTTAGAAAGGGTCTGTGTCCCATTTTCATCCCTGGTATGTTAGGGATATTTAAATAGAGAAGTGTCTCATAGTAACATGCTTACTAGTAATATGCTTATAGACATATTGTGAATGATCCATGAAAAACTCCTAGCAAAGTGCCTGGGACATCGCTGGCAAGTGTTAAATAAATGTTGGCAGTTGTCATTATTATTATGGAACTTAATTTAATTTTAGTGCTGGAGGGGACTTTGAAGATAATGTAGTCCAACCACCCATTTTACACAGTAAGTTTTAGTGCTATTTTCTTTTTCATACAAAACAGTGGAGCTGTTTGGAGTGGTTTTCTCTTATGTAGTGCTATCTGTTTTATATTAGGAAGACCCAAATTTTGGTTCAGTCGTTATCAGCTTAATGGCTATACTAGTTCATAATGATTTTTATGTGGGTATTTTGAATTAAATAGCAATTGTGAATTTTAAAAGAAGTTAAGGGTGAAATTGGAGAAGCATTAAACAAAATAAAATCCTGGCAATTTGTTAGCCTTTCTTCTGTAACAATGTTCCAGAGGGAGTTGTGAACATTATAGATTAGTGACCTTCTGGATGGCAGATCTATTTTTTTTAAAGTGTAGAATACTTGAATACTTAGGTGAACAATTATAGAAGAGAAGGTAGCTTGATTTTAGACATAAATAACTATATGGATGACTAGAAACAAGTGGGTTATATTTTATTAGATTTAAAAATATATTTGGACAAAGTTCACACCTTAAATTCTATTTTAAAAACCTGAATAAACACTAACTATATAAGTAATCTTGGGGACCTTTATGTGAATAGGTCATTTGTCTGAGCCAATAACAAAACTATAGGAATAGATATCATTTCTTGGAATGGAGGAACTTTGGGCATTCTCTACAAGTTGAGACCATTTTCATGCAATGTTTGTTTGTTTGTTTGTTTGTTTTTTAATTATTTGAAAGACAGAGGTAAAAGATGGGTCCCGGGACTGAAAGACAGAGGTAAAAGAAAACCACTCCAAACAGCTCCACTGTTTTGTATATAAAACTGCCTGGGATAAATTCTAGTTTAGAGCTCTATGAGTTAGAAGTGGTAGATGCATTTTAATGTAGGCATGAATAAGTGAAAATAATCTCGATCATGACTATGTGATGTTATGCAGAAAGATAAGGGGGAAATTAAAGGTTTTAAGCAAGGGCATGCCATGATTTGCTTTGTTTAAAATTTTTTTATATGTTTATTTATTTTTGAGAGAGAGAGAGACAGACAGAGAGAGAGAGAGAGAGAGAGAAAGAGAGAGAGAATGAGCAGGGGAGGGGCAGAGAGAGAGAGGAAGACACGGAATTTGAAGCAGGCTCCAGGCTCTGAACTGTTAGCACAGAGCTGGATGCAGGGCTTGAACTCAAACTGCAAGATCATGACCTGAGCTGAAGGTGAATGCTTAACCAACTGAGCCACCCAGGTGCCCCTGATTTGCTATGTTTTTAAAAGATCTCTCTTGAGTCCTGTGTACCATGGTAAGAAATTAAGAAATTGGTAGAGTAGTAAGGAGCTTATTGTAATGATCTAGGCAAAATATGATAGTTCCTATCTTAGCTTGGGCTGCTATACCAAAATACCATAAACTGGTGGTTTAATCAACAGGCATTTGTTAATCATAGTCCTGGAGGCTGGGAAGTCCAAGATCAGGGTGCCGGCATGGTCAGGTTCTGGTGAGGACTCTCTTCCTGGCTTGCCGATGTCTGCCTTCTTGCTGTGTCCTCACATAGCAGAGAGAAGGATGTTCAGGTTTCTTCTGGGGTCTCCACTGTCATGAGCTACCCCTTCCCCAGGCTCTACCTCCTACGCTTATCACACTGTGGGGTTAGGGACTCAACATAAGAATTTTGGTGGTGCACAAACAGTCTGTGACCTAGACTAAGGTAGTAACAACGGAAAAGTAACAGAGTGGACAGAATAGAGGAAAATTTTGGAGGTGTAAAAGGTAGAACTTGCTGATGAATTCGGTGTCTGGGTTTGATGGAGAATGAAGGGTTGAGAATGACTCTCAAAAGTCTGCTTCAGTAAGAGGATGAAGTAAGTGGGTGGAGATGCCATTTGCTGAAATGGAGGAAGCCAGATGAGGAGCAGCTTTGGGAAAGGGAAGATTGAGAGAGAGAGAATATTGAATAGGATGAGCTGTGGATCTGATAATTTTTTTTTCTTTTAAAATTTTTATTTAAATTCTAGTTAGTTAACATACAGTGCATTACTAGTTTCAGGAGTAGAATTCAGTGATTCATCACTTCCATATAACACCCACTGCTCATCATTAATACCCATCACCCATCTAGCCCATCCCTCACCTCCCTCCATCAACCCTTAAGAGTCTCTTAGGGTTTGTTTCCCTCTCTGTCTCCCCCCCCCCCATATGTTTGTTTATTTATTATTGTTTTGTTTCTTAAATTCTACATATGAGTGAAATCACGGTATTTGTCATTCTCTGACTTATTTCACTTAGCATAATACACTCTAGCTCC